ACTTAATCACTCCTATCGATGACGAAAATTAAATTGAACTGATGTATTTTCATATAAATTACTTATACTTATGTTTCAAAATGTACTAATTATTTTTGTATTTTATGAATATTAAAATAAAAAATACTTAAATCAAACCTTTATATTAAATATGTTCATGGTATAAATTATTATTATATGAGCCGTTTATTTTGAAGTGGCATAAGTCACTTTTTCAAAAAAATCGAGTTAATGGTAACACTAATTACAATTTTAGTAAATCACTGTCCTTTCAAAACATCACTTCAGTAAAATACGTCGGACAAAATTAATACATGTCAGTCATTTTTCTAAACTATTTATTTTGAAAGTGGCTCGAGTCACTTTACCTTAATGAAAAGTGGTGATTTTTTAATGTTTATACGAAATTATTTATACTGAGAAAAATATCAGTATCCTGAGATAACAAATACAAGTAAATCTTCTCGAAAGTTAGCATCCATATTTTTAAACTTGTTAAAACGCAAATCCTTAAATATATCGACTTAAAAACAAAGTGATTTATGCCACTTTCAAAATAAACGGCTCATATGTTGACACAATTTTCTTTTACGCCTTTGCTTCAGCCTTTCGATTAGAACTTGCCAAATCCCGATTTGTAAATTGCGTTCAACAAATATTTTTACAGTAAATCATATTTTATGAAAAACGTGTACGCACGTATCAAATGATTTTGAGCACATCAGTTGCGCTTACTTTAAAAAATGATGAAAGGATGATACGCTACAGTGAGACCATTTGAATCCTTTCTCTGTGTGTCTAAGATCACTCATGATGTAGCCATCTTCCCAGCGACATTTTTCTGCTCCAGGTCCTCCAAGATAACTGGGTGGTGGTGATCCATCGTGAACAGCACCAAGCCTGTAATATTTATTAATATTTATAAATTATAATACGTTGCCGATGTTCTTACACGGATAAAAGACTTAAATATAGCACAAACTTACAAGTGACCAACTTCGTGTGCGGCAACAATAATCCCACTGAATCCGCCAGTGTCCTCAATGATTGCGACCGAGTTCACTTTTTCCAAACGTTTATTTACAACACAGGCTCCACCCACATACGCGAAACCTAAGTAAATGATCATGATTAGTATACAACCTCTTAAACTCCATATACAGCAAGGAGTTAATGTTAATAGAAATGTTAATGCTGCTAGTCAATTCATTATTCGATGTAAGCTAAGTAAGCTGCATTCTCGGCGAGTTAAATTAAATAGCAGAGTAACGAAGTGTACAGGTTTCGATAAAATTGCGTATCGAGGCTTTTACGGTTTATAATCGGCGAAAAAATCATGTCGCAGAAACATGTGGTGAGCTTGCAACTTAGGAGAAATTTCTTTCTGCTGCGATATATTTTAGTTATCGCGAAGATGGAAAGTGAGAAGATAAACGTGAGCCGACAACGCCGTTTCAAACATCTTTTTCTGTGTCGAAGAACGGTTCGATCGTGGTGTACGTTTCTTCTGCACGTTTCAACAGCTTGTTAAATAAAAAGATTGCAACGGAAGAAAGATTGGCTCCAATGTTTTCGTCGATTACAAACCAAATAAATAAAATTTATTGATATCGTACATGTTTTAGACTCTAACAAGATTTTATTTGATAAATTACATAAATATTTTACGTAATTTAAAAAATGTAGACGGACACTTCGTCGAATTGTCGATCTCATTATTAGGTACGAGATTATAGCGGAAATCTAACGACAGTTAATTCATTTGACCAATAAGTTATCCGTTAATAAAGAAATTCAGATAAGAATAATTGTTTCACAGGCAGCATGCATCTGATGTTAATTTATGTTGAATGATTAATCGAAGCAATCAATACAATTATAACTGTCATTTATGTAATTTACCATAGAATTTGTAATGTTTTCCTTCAATATTTACGATGCAAGAATTATTATTCATTTCTGGGACTTATATCGTTCCTTGTATCTTTCTGATAACCTGTTCCTGTACTTTATCCTCCAGTTACATTCATTTGAACACTTACCAGAAACGATCCTCAGAAATATTGCAGGCAAAGAAACAAAAAAGGTACAAGTCATATAGAACAGAACGAAAATAGAGAGAGGGGAAGGGGCGGTGATAAAGGAATATGTGTTTATCAGACATTCTTAGTTAAATTGGACACGATCTGGAGCAATTAATTAATTGTACATAGTGATACGAGATTATCTTTGAATAAAATAATTCACGGTTTATTTATTAGCGTGAATAACCAAAATAATTTCATGGATAACTTTCCGATTAACTTTACGATGCCATTTATATTTATAAAATATATTTTCAAATTGTTTGACAGATAGAAATAGTAAAATAGTCGACGATGTTTATTATCTAGAGTGCTACTTGTCATTTTATGTACCAAATAACGTATGCCCATGTCCGATACTAGGAAACCATAGCCATTGTGCAATGGATGGAGCAGACAAGATTTGCGAGAGAACAGTTTCGAAGACTGAGATGTGTTCCGATAGGTCGTATATGCGATTCATTCGTTTTCGTTCTTGAATTCAGTGCGAGAATCAGGGTGAGATACAGAACAGAGGAAAATTGAAAATCCCAGACGAAGAAAGACTTCATTCACAGATAGGCGCGAGTGGCAAGCTATATAGAATTTCAGTTTACATTTAGTTTAAGATAGCTCAAATCATTGTGTTCGTTTAGATACCTGTTGTACAAACTTCAAACACAGCGTTCCATTCAAGGGAATTAATAAACAAATAAATAGAAATGAAAGCCCCGTTACTGTAGTTTGCTGTAGTTTATAAATTCATATCACTGGGAAATAAACCTAGTTACAGTACGTAACTAAATAATTTATTTGTCGAATGTGACAACGATTTAATTGATAACATTAATTTAATATTATGGTTTTTGATGTGTCAATGTTACATTCATTTTATATATTTTTACAGGAAATATAAAAGTTCATAGTGATTGGTAATGACATAATCATAAAATAACTTCTAACATGAATACGATACTTTCTCCCAATGGTTCGCATTCGAACGCTTCCCCCGCTACTGAACAATCATAATCGCGTTTTTATGCATTTTAAAAGCGACTCTCCTACTAGTTCGTCCAATACATATAAAACATACAACACATATTTTATCGCAAAGAGAGGTATAACTATGCGTTTTTAGTTTATCTCGATTTCATCGTCTCGAGAAATATCTAGGGGAGACCGATGGCGGTTGTAACACGTTAAATATCTCAAAATATATGATAGATATTATTACACGGTTCAGATATATAATGTGAAATGACATCTGGAACATACCCATCTATCATGCTTAGGTAAATACGAAATATACATTTGCATAAGAAAAAAAATAATTTTTCGGTACCTAGAAGCTAACTTTCCTCACTGCTTTAAAATTGTGATATTTTTTTAGCAAATATATTCTTCCTTCTCGTTTTAAATCTCTAATTTTATATGTCGTAAGAAATACCGATAGTTACTTCGCATTGATAAGAATATTATAAATAACAATTTATAATTAAAGTTTGAAAGTCAATCAGGTCGGAGACGATTGTAACACCGACAGTCGGGGTCGATTGTAAGAGATATCTCTACGCCTAATTTTCTTCATCTTATAATTTCAATAAGTACCTATATTTATAAGGTTAACCAATAAATTTAAAATTGCTATAATTTAATATCATAATTAAACTTTTAGAATGTCTCGTACAAAAATAAAAAAAACTAATAAAGGAACGATGGATATAAAAGCATACGAAGGTGGTTAGGAACCTTGTATCACAAGCAAATTCAATGAGAAATGGGTCCAATGTTGTTGGCTGTAATGCCATGGTGTGTTACAACCGAGGTCGGTGTCAGTTGTAACATTTTACCCGCTTCCTGATTTTATTAATAACTTGGATATTCCTTAACACGTTCCGTGCCGAGCTTTTTTTACTCGAATCTTCACACTTTGATATTTTACTAAAACTTGATGTATTACGTGCAATTATTAATTCTCGTACACATAACAACGTAACAAAAACTTATCAACGCCCATTCTTGCAGTGGAAATTGATTCTTCGATTCTAAATTTCTTGTAAACAATTTGTTCAGTTCACTAAGTAAACATGCAAGCGTGTACCATCGATGGTACACGTGGCACGGAACGTGTTAATGCACAACAAAACCACTGTAACTGAATAATCTCAGATAAGTAGGTAAGAGATTCGTACAGCAATTGTCGTTGTAAATACAATAGTTTACGTGTAATCATGTTCAGAAATCAAAGAGATACAACCGTCATCGATTTTCCCTACTGTTCGTCCCTGAAAAGATTGCACAATCTTGTAGAGATCTATCCCCCACCATCTGATATCCTGTCTACCTACTATACGCGGACCATACCTAAGAGTCAGATCTCTCCACACCCTACTATCAACATCTGTGCCATCATAAGAATATAAACTGGCGATACATATAGGCATGAAAGTATTCGAACGCTTTTTAAAACGTTGTAACTTCTTATAAACGGGCCAAACGATATAAACTATTTAGAGATGTTAGAGGGAATAGTTCTCTAAACAGTGGCAAAAAAATTGTTTTCAAAAAATGTTTGGATGATAAAAAAATTGGAAATTTATGTTTCATCAACATATTTATCCGAGCCTATAACGAAAATTTAAAAAATGCGTTTCGTACACCCCGTAGTTTATATACGTGCTGAAAATTTCATCGAAATCTGTGGACACATTGATAAGCTGCAGGCATTGAAAGATATAAAAATCTCGAGATTTCTTGCAGTTATCGGTTAAAAGTTGTAAACAATTGCGACTGCTATTATCTTAGCTCATAACAACGTTAACCGATTTCGCTGAAAGTTTCTGCATGCGTATAAGTTACCGAGATCTAAAGAAAAAGCATTTTTTAAATCTTCGTCGTAGGCTCGATAGAAAGATTGAAAAATAATAAAAATAAATAAAAAAAAATAATCTTAATTCTTTTATCATGCTAACAAATCGGAATTTTTGAAATTAATTTTTTAGCCATTGTCTAGTAAACTAATCCCTCTAACATCTCAACAAAATTTAGATCGCTTGACCCAATAATAGAAAAGTTATTCCGTTTCAAAAAGTGTTAGAATACTTTCGTGTCTCAGTGTATATTCCCCTACGGCCCTGTACACCGAACTATTGGGAGTGAGTACTGTATTTATAATACACATACGTATACAGAATGTTCCTTTGAAAACTTACAATCTAAAGATCTCAAGGGGGAAATACAATTATTTTATTTATACATATTTTTGATAATTATTTACTTTATTTGCGACCTCTCAGATTTCAATGATCTTAAAATATGGTGTCAAAATCATCATCCTGAACAATTTTTTCTTATATATATTTTCAGCTTTCAGCTTTAGTTTCCAAGATATTCACGAAAATACATTTCACATACAATATAGAGGATGCTCTAGATTTTTTGGATCCAACGATATCATCATATTTTCTACGAGCGAAAATAAGATGAAAATGTCATATATAAACATAAGCGCAGAAATGATTAAAGACAAAGATTATTAAAAAATTATAAGAAAAATACGAAATAGCAACGGACTATACATATATATATACACGTATATATACATATACGGACTCATATATATAAGCGCAGAAATGATTAAAAACAAAAATTATTAAAAAATTATAAGAAAAATACGAAATAGCAACGGACTAAATGGGAATATTTATCTACATATATTTGTATGCTAGTTCTATTTCGAAGTGTCGTCTATGAAAAATTGAATAAGTTAGTAAACATAGCTTGGATAAGTAAATACAGACACAAGAAATATCACTAATGATAATTTCTACATCGAACGAAAATCAAATCGTTGATATTTCATATTTTTCATACAATTTTTTAATAAAGCATTTATCGAACCCATGTTTATATGACATTTTTTTCTTATTTTCGCTGGTAGATTATGAATACCGTTTGACCGAAAGAACCTGGGCACCCTGTATATTTTCTGTTTACAACATGAATGTTATTAGCTTCTGGTATCCTGCAGACAGTGTCGCCAGGGAATCGATGGCGCGAGAGGAATCTCTTTGTCCTCTCCTTGCCTCGTGCCCTGCAGTCGCCATCAAATTGAAGTTGGAGTAATGGAGGGGGTACCTAGCAGCACTAGATCGTCGCTTGACGATGCATGGATCAGCTTTTTGGCCATGACGCATCTTCACCACATCAGTGTCCTCCCATTTGAGAGTCTCCGGTAGGAGTGGGGGAAAAAGGAGCTTGTGGACTATTGCAGGGAGGAGGGCGACATCTAGGGAGCCTCACGCGCCATCAATTCCCTGGCAACACTGCTTACAGCTCACATTATATAGTTTTAGCGCTGTTTACATGCGGAATTGGTTGAGGTTAGGTATGCGACGGGTTGGAGAAGGCTAGCCGCGAGGTGCGCAACATTGTAAGTGTAATCAGGCCGGCCATCTTTGCTCCTTCCCAAACCACAACCAACCTCAGCAATTCCTTCTCTTGGAATCTTGTATTCATATGATTATATTGTATAATATAATATACATTATATTATATTTTAATTACTGTTCGGTGACAGCCGGTTCCCAAATAAAGTGTAATCGTAATTTAAGTATTACTAAAGCTTTTTGCAAATATCTCGGGAACTAAATCCGTGCGGAGGTAACATGTACAGGAAGAAGTTATTCAGAATGATGAGGCTGACAACAGATTTAGATTTAAAGTTTTCAAATGAATGCTCCGTACAAGCTATCAGTATTACCATACGATGGATCAATTATTTTATACTTAAATTAGTTAGAAGATCATGACTATCATTATTATATATACAGGGTGTCCAATTTGAAGTAATGCACTCAATTATCTCCTAAATGATGGTTCGTTTAAAAGTTTTTTTAAGCGAACCTTGCCCTGTTTCGAATGGGATATCCCATAATGGTCGCAAATTGGACATGCTTCAGAGACTTCAAGGTGACCTTGGTTTATTTTAATGGTACTGTATATCTTTTTTATGTAAGCAGATAATGCATTTCAAGAACAATTCGTTGACCTAGAATTCTTTGGTCTTTGAACTACGCACAAGGTTATTTAACCCTTTCGCTACTACGGGCCACTATAGTGGCCCTCCATAAGATGTCACTGAGGTACTACGGGCCACTATAGTGACCTTTCGTATGATGCCACTGAGGTACTACGGGCCACTATAGTGGCCTTTCATAAGATGCCACTGAGGTACTATGGGCCACTATAGTGGCCCTCCATAAAATGTCACTGAGGTACTACGGGCCACTATAGTGGCCCTCCATAAGATGCCACTGAGGTACTACGGGCCACTATAGTGGCCCTCCATAAGATGCCACTGAGGTACTACGGGCCACTATAGTGGCCTTTCATATGATGCCACTGAGGTACTACGGGCCACTATAGTGGCCCTCCATAAGATGCCACTGAGGTACTACGGGCCACTATAGTGGCCTTTCATATGATGCCACTGAGGTACTACGGGCCACTATAGTGGCCCTCCATAAGATGCCACTGAGGTACTACGGGCCACTATAGTGGCCTTTCATAAGATGCCACTGAGGTACTACGGGCCACTATAGTGGCCCTCCATAAGATGCCACTGAGGTACTACGGGCCACTATAGTGGCCCTCCATAAGATGCCACTGAGGTACTACGGGCCACTATAGTGGCCCTCCATAAGATGCCACTGAGGTACTACGGGCCACTATAGTGGCCCTCCATAAGATGCCACTGAGGTACTACGGGCCACTATAGTGGCCCTCCATAAGATGCCACTGAGGTACTACGGGCCACTATAGTGGCCCTCCATAAGATGCCACTGAGGTACTACGGGCCACTATAGTGGCCCTCCATAAGATGCCACTGAGGTACTACGGGCCACTATAGTGGCCCTCCATAAGATGCCACTGAGGTACTACGGGCCACTATAGTGGCCCTCCATAAGATGCCACTGAGGTACTACGGGCCACTATAGTGGCCTTCCATAAGATGCCACTGAGGTACTACGGGCCACTATAGTGGCCCTCCATAAGATGCCACTGAGGTACTACGGGCCACTATAGTGGCCCTCCATAAGATGCCACTGAGGTACTACGGGCCACTATAGTGGCCCTCCATAAGATGCCACTGAGGTACTACGGGCCACTATAGTGGCCCTCCATAAGATGCCACTGAGGTACTACGGGCCACTATAGTGGCCCTCCATAAGATGCCACTGAGGTACTACGGGCCACTATAGTGGCCCTCCATAAGATGCCACTGAGGTACTACGGGCCACTATAGTGGCCCTCCATAAGATGCCACTGAGGTACTACGGGCCACTATAGTGGCCCTCCATAAGATGCCACTGAGGTACTACGGGCCACTATAGTGGCCCTCCATAAGATGCCACTGAGGTACTACGGGCCACTATAGTGGCCCTCCATAAGATGCCACTGAGGTACTACGGGCCACTATAGTGGCCCTCCATAAGATGCCACTGAGGTACTACGGGCCACTATAGTGGCCTTTCGTATGATGCCACTGAGGTACTACGGGCCACTATAGTGGCCTTTCATAAGATGCCACTGAGGTACTATGGGCCACTATAGTGGCCTTCCATAAGATGCATTATATTGCATAATGTTATTTCCTCTCATACTGTAAATTAAAGAGCGCATGCTAAGACGTTATAAATACCCTGGAATACCCTTTATTTATAAATACCCTTTGGAGAGAAATTTTTTCGTACGAAAACATTCAAGCAGCTTGGGTTCTCCGCCGCGGTACTCCCGCTGACGATCGGCGTCGCGTAGCGTGCAGTGATTGTCGCGGCGCTCCGTTCAGCGGAAGTACTGCGGTGGAGAACCCGTCCGTAGCGAAAGGGTTAATGCCGTTTAAAACTTGTCTTCGTTAAACGTCCCAAGAGTTTAACCTCCAAGAGTATGGCGGCGGCTTGTGTTTACAAAGAGAGACAATCTATTGGAAGCTTATCACTGTGTGGAAAGTATCAATATCATTGTGACTCTGATTGCCAACTTNTGTCGCGGCGCTCCGTTCAGCGGAAGTACTGCGGTGGAGAACCCGTCCGTAGCGAAAGGGTTAATGCCGTTTAAAACTTGTCTTCGTTAAACGTCCCAAGAGTTTAACCTCCAAGAGTATGGCGGCGGCTTGTGTTTACAAAGAGAGACAATCTATTGGAAGCTTATCACTGTGTGGAAAGTATCAATATCATTGTGACTCTGATTGCCAACTTCCGATGCTAGATTCCAGGTTTGAGGAGTAGGGACGGGTAGTATGACGGCGAAATCCTCACTACCTTGTCTCAAAGTCACTCGGCGTCCGTAGGCTACGCAGTATACTTAAAAAATGCGATGCAGTAGGGACACCTTTTAGCTTTCCGAGTGTTGTTTTCGACTTCGCCGCATTAGCCGAGGGAGTGAGAGTTGCCCCACCATACTGCCTGCCCCCACTCTTCAAACCTGGAATCTAGCATCCGAAGTTAGCAACCAAAATTTGCGAAGAAATTTCTGCAAGATTATGTCCCGTTAGATGTTCAGATGGCCAGCATCCTAATGATAGCAGTTCTATTTTCTGATGAAATTACTTACAAAAATAGTGAAGAATTAAATTGACATGATTGTCACTATTGGGCTGAAGAGAATCCGCATTGACACCGGTCAGTTGAAGTCGGACTACTTTTTTTAATGATACACTAATAGGAGAACGCTATAACACTCTTCCCACAGAAGAGAAAAGAATCCCAGATCTCCGGATTTAACATCATTAGACTTTTTCTTGTGGAATTGAATAAAAGGTAAAGTTTACTAGGCAGAGTTTAATGGTATCTTTTAACGCGGCAAATTAATAAGACAACGTTGAAGGACGTGGAGCTATCACTTAGAGTTAGAATTAATCAGTGTATTGATGTCGGTGGTCGTCCTTTTCAATACATGCGATAAAAAGTAATTTTTGCGCGTATAACATAGCTAAACTTTAAACGGTATTAAATGAGCTTGTTACAGGTCAATGAATTGACCTTGAAATGCACAATCCGTTTATTTAAAGAAACATACAGTTCCATTTAAAAAGAAGCAAGGTCTTCTTGACATCTCACATTCTTCCAAACGAACTATAGTTTAGGAGATAATTGAATGCGTTATTTCGAATGGGACACCCTGTATACATGAAGAAGCTGTCGTACTTTTTAATATCACACACAAAATTAACATTCGAAGGGGCGAGAACCTAATTCACAACGATCTTCAGGATATCTTTTGCGGAGTATTTGGTCGTGAAATTGCAATAAAGAATTATTTGAGAGCAGGGAAAAACCTTCGCAGAGCTGTGCACACACAGTTAAGTGTTCGTATTATCAATCGACAATTTTCGTAATTTGCTTAATCCCGAAAAAAACGTACCTGCGGTTCCTCTATTGCACACGTCATTCGCGTATTGCCTCCTGCACATATCTAATCTGCAATGCAACAACAAAAGTTCCACTTTATCATGTAGATCCACAACCTGCTTGATTTGGACCACGTCACAGGACAATCAAAGGAGACGCGCCGCTCGTACATGTGTACATGACAAGTCCCTTTACGTGATTTGGGGAGAAAACAAGAATAATGTAAAAGAATGACAATATAGTGCGACGTGCGACGTGCGACAACACACTTCCGTCGACAACAATTCTGCGTAATCTTCGTGCAATCTTTTGTTCCGAGAGCAGACGGACGCGTTCCATTTCATCTTTGCAAACTCGAAACGTCAATAGTGTATGTTGATTGCCAAAAAGCGAATACTGTGAGCCGATCGAACGTTGCGCAGAAAGTTTCTCCCTTGGTTCAGCCACGGAAACGTAAATGATGACAGCGTTGAATTGTGACCAAGCGAATGTAGCACGCGTGTAAACGATCGTCAATTACAGTAAATTCTCCCTAACTGACCATCAGCTAGGAAACAAAAATGGACAATTTAGGAAGAGGACATACAATTATTCCAGCCTTGCGGCTCGTTTTCATAGTTGACGACATCGTATCTCTTCTTACCAAATTGCCCGCTTTGTGTACCAGCTGAGCGTCAATTAGGGAGACTTTACTGTCGTAATCAAACGTTGCTTCTCTTGCACGAATAATTCGAGATTACCGTAGTATCTGGCGTTTGTGCGCGAATCATGTTTATACAATCTTCTTACTTGCTCGATAGGAAAAGTTAGAAATGGTGTATGCACCGTGATGAGATCACAAGACGAGCCCTGAGACAGCGCAGGAGCAAGAGGGGCATCCTTAGGCCCGTCTATCCTCACTTTTGACGCTCGTGTAGACGCAATGCTGTTTAATCGCATCTACTACCGTTACTATTAGGTCTACCGGAAAGTTCTGTCCGTTTTTGAATTGAAATATAACAGAATTTTCATACATTTAATAATATTTATTGTAGAATATACTTTCCATCGTGACTTATGACTTCTTGCCAGCGCGATGGCAACTTGTAAATGCCATTTATAAAAAATGATTTATTTTTAGAGGCGAAGAACTCAACTAGTGCTTGGTTGACATCAGCTTCAGTTTTGAATTTTTGTTCCTGTAAAAAGTTTTGCAAAGAGAGAAACAAGTGATAATCGGAGGGTGCTAGGTCTGGGGAGTATGGTGGATGCGACAGAATTTCCCAGCCTAGCTCTGCGATTTTCTGACGAGTCGCCAAAGCAGCATGTGGTCTGGCATTATCATCGGTAGCCATGTTTTCACGATCGCGTCTCACTTAATAATGACATGAGACATCTTTCTTTCAGTTTATTTAGGAGAGTGCATGCGTGTAAATGCAATGATAAAGAGAGATAGTCATATATGTCTCAAATCAACATGTGCATATGGATTGAAACTTGAAGTGACACTATCGGACAGAACTTTCCGGCAGACCTAGTACTTATCAATTTGCGCTATCTCACTCGTTCTCCACACGTCTCGTTCTCTCTTTTGACTGTCTTCGTCACGTGAAGCCGATTAATGTATGTGACCGCGTTAGCCAATAGTGCGCCCTAATCGAAAATGTGTGTCAGACTAGAGGGTACGCCCCGTTGTCTGTGACCAATCGGACGCGAATTCTTATCATACGTCACCGGCATTCCTACCAAGGCTCATATTGTGATCTCACCACAGTACAATGCACGCGGAAAGAGGATCGAATGATCATAAATCGATTCCTTCAGATATATCGTCTCTAATGTGCAGTTTGTTACCATGAACGTGGCTCGTTTAGTTTTGAACACTTAAGGCGAATTCTCAGTGTTATGGACAACGATCTTAGTTCTTGATATCATCACGACAGTACGTCGTTACCGTATATTAGTTTACCATTACCTTTTTAATTTGATTTAGGTTACTACTGATTATAGGCAACTGAGTATACTGTACGCATTAAGCCCTTGATCTACATATTTAGAGGCGACTAGTCTCGAATACAATGACAAGTGTAGCACTTGACACTGTGTGTGTGTGNGACTTATGACTTCTTGCCAGCGCGATGGCAACTTGTAAATGCCATTTATAAAAAATGATTTATTTTTAGAGGCGAAGAACTCAACTAGTGCTTGGTTGACATCAGCTTCAGTTTTGAATTTTTGTTCCTGTAAAAAGTTTTGCAAAGAGAGAAACAAGTGATAATCGGAGGGTGCTAGGTCTGGGGAGTATGGTGGATGCGACAGAATTTCCCAGCCTAGCTCTGCGATTTTCTGACGAGTCGCCAAAGCAGCATGTGGTCTGGCATTATCATCGGTAGCCATGTTTTCACGATCGCGTCTCACTTAATAATGACATGAGACATCTTTCTTTCAGTTTATTTAGGAGAGTGCATGCGTGTAAATGCAATGATAAAGAGAGATAGTCATATATGTCTCAAATCAACATGTGCATATGGATTGAAACTTGAAGTGACACTATCGGACAGAACTTTCCGGCAGACCTAGTACTTATCAATTTGCGCTATCTCACTCGTTCTCCACACGTCTCGTTCTCTCTTTTGACTGTCTTCGTCACGTGAAGCCGATTAATGTATGTGACCGCGTTAGCCAATAGTGCGCCCTAATCGAAAATGTGTGTCAGACTAGAGGGTACGCCCCGTTGTCTGTGACCAATCGGACGCGAATTCTTATCATACGTCACCGGCATTCCTACCAAGGCTCATATTGTGATCTCACCACAGTACAATGCACGCGGAAAGAGGATCGAATGATCATAAATCGATTCCTTCAGATATATCGTCTCTAATGTGCAGTTTGTTACCATGAACGTGGCTCGTTTAGTTTTGAACACTTAAGGCGAATTCTCAGTGTTATGGACAACGATCTTAGTTCTTGATATCATCACGACAGTACGTCGTTACCGTATATTAGTTTACCATTACCTTTTTAATTTGATTTAGGTTACTACTGATTATAGGCAACTGAGTATACTGTACGCATTAAGCCCTTGATCTACATATTTAGAGGCGACTAGTCTCGAATACAATGACAAGTGTAGCACTTGACACTGTGTGTGTGTGTGTGTGTTTTGGGGGAGCTAGTGAATCGAAAGTATCAAAAAGATATGCTTTCTCATAATTTGCAATATTTTTGGAACTCAACTGGTTGCATTTTCAGTGAACCAAACGGCAGATCTTAATAAACATCTCCGTGTAAGAATATATACGGCTAGTTTCTAATATACCAGCATATAAGATGACTTTTTAATATATAGGATATCCTATAATTATATTAATTCTCTGAAAGGAGTGATTCCTGAGGTCATTCGAAGTAACATTTTCCTTAGCGTAAATGCTATTCGCGGCTTTGTTTACGCGTTATTAACGAAAAACACTGACCAATCAGAGGCGAGATCAGCTAGCTCAAGCGGCCGAGGCAGCAAGCAGTACTACGGTTGCGACTGCGGACCACGACGGCAGAAGCATAGGCTTCGTGTCGCATTTGAAGCATGAACAAGTTACAGAGCGTTGAACTTTCCGTATTTTTTTACTACGTATAATTGATAATTTTAAGAGAAACTCTGTTAATCCTTATTATACGATGTCTGAAGAATATTTAGTAATTTTTCAGACCTTAAATAATAAGTAGTTTAACCGTGACAGCCGTTTTAATTATCTAATGTGTATCACACCCCACGTGTAGCAAAGTAATTTTTAAGCGTTGGGCAGTGTAAATATTAATAATAAATAACCCCGTTAAAGTACCTAAAAGATATTTTTGTTTGAATAATTCTGTGTCTGAATAGATTGATTCGCAAAGCTATTTTACTGATAAATAACCTTGTTAAAAATGTTGTAAGAAAATTGTTTGTTTAAGAGATGTAAAAAATACTATTAATACGAAAGTTACCCATTTAGTTGTAAATCCGCTTCATGCTAAGAAATATGTGTCAAAAGAATAGAGCAATGTATAGTCCGCGACAAAAATGTAACACACTTTGAAATTAACTGATTTTTATTTATTTAGAATTACAATCAAGGTTATGTTTTTATACAAACTAGCAAAACAGTACGATATAAATACAGTAAATTCTCTCTAATTGACGCTCAGCTTGGAAATAAAAATTGATAATTTGGGAAGAGGAGATATGATTATTCGAGCCTTGCGGCTAGTTTTTATAGTTACGGATTATCAACAACTATAAAAACGACCTGCAAGGCATGAATAATCGTTTCTCCTTTTCCTAAATTGTCCATTTTTGTGTACAAGCTGGGAGTCAATTAGGGAGAATATACTGTACCTACAAATGAAATAGAATTGAATTCCGCCAGTCTAACGATTTCATTTGAAAAAAAAAGAATTTTTGAATACATTTTTCATTCGGCAATGCTTTGAAATTTTAACCGAGCTGTATATAGAAATGGCAAACAATTTAAAAACATTGCCGAATTAGAAAAAGTATTCAAGATGAGTGCGAGCAATTAGAGAAAAAACTATTAAAAATCTCTATAAATCTTTGTCAAAGATAATGATAATTCTTAATAAGTGCAAAGGAGGAGCCACAAAATATTAAGCATTAAATATTCATTAATTTATTGCTATATATCACTTTTAGTTAAAAGTGCTATAATTTTATCCCACTGTATGCCGATAAAAATTATTTTTTTCTCAAATAAAATTGTTTATACAGGCGGAATTCAATTCTACAAATGAATTTGTAGGTATTCAACATTTGCAAGTTTATATAAAAACAAAATCTTGATTGTAATGTTAATACTTAAAAATCAATTAATTTCAAAGTGTGTTATCTTTTTGTCGCGGACTGTACATTTTATGAGGTCAATGCACTATTCTATTGACACATATTTATTAGCATAAACTGGATTTACAGCTAAATGGGTAAGTTTCTTATTAATAGTATTCTTGATATCTCTTCAATAAACAAATTTTTTACAACCTTTAACAGTGTTATTTATCAACAAAATAGCTTTTGCGAATCATTTGTGGAATTCTGTTCAGACATAGAATTATTCAAACAAAAATATCTTTTAGATACATTGACGGGGTTACTCATTTTTAGTATTTAATGTGCCCACCGCATAAAAATTACTTTGCTACACGTGGAGTGTAATACACATTAGATAATTAAAACGGCTGTCACGGTTAAACTACTTATTATTTAGGGTTTGAAGAATTACTAAATATTCTTCAGACATTCTACAATAAGGATTGAGGATACGGAAATTTTCACGCTCTGTGACTTGTTCATGCTTCAAATGCGACACGAAGCTTCTGTAGTTCTGCTTGCTGTCTCGGCCGCTCGAGCTAGCTGATCTCGCCTCTGATTGGTTAGTGTTTTTTCGTTAATAACGGGTAAACAAAGCCGTGAATAGCATTTACGCTAAGGAAAATGTTACTTCAAGTGACCTCAGGAATCACTCCTTTCAGAGAATTAAGATAATTATGGGACATCCTGCATTATCACTATGTACGTAGTGCACGCTTGCACACTACTGCTTACAGCAATAGTGGATTTTGATATAATTACTAATAATTTAATTAATAATTTCTTTCAAATTAAACTCCTCTGAAACTGTTATACAAGATGCTCCAGCATTGATTGTCCCAACCGAGAAGAATTTAACTAGGTGATTCTACATGAAAGAACAAATCGAAAATAAGTTATAGAATTTTTTCATTTGCGACTCTGTTGTCGAGAAAATCGGTTTTGAATATTCAGCATACGTGTACACCTATTATTAGAAGCTGTCAGGAAGTCCTCAGGGGTTTCTGCGGGGCAAGGGTAACAAAAGAAGGCACCGCCTGACCCTACCTTCCACGCTTCTGCCTGGCGTCTTTGTGGGGCCTTTTGCCATAGTTGTAGGATCTTTGTATCGATGTACTCTATCAAATGTTTTCGTAGCGATGAAATGGCGCAAGGCGGGCGAGCCAACGAACGTACGAAGCCCAGTTCCGCCCATTGATTTGGCCGCCTTGCGCCAGCCAAGCTCGCCTCTCATTGGTCACTCTTTTTTTGTTAATAACTCGTTAACGGTGCCTCCGAGAAAATTGTTGTAAAGGAAGAAGTTACTTCAAATGACCTCGGGAACCCCTCATTTCCCGCTTGTACAATAATTTTGGGACACCCAGTATAAAATAGAGCCGCAAGACTTAAATAATCGTATTCTCCTTTTGTCCAAAATTGTCCATTTTTGTTTATAAACTGAAGGACAATTGGGAAGAAGTTACTGTAGTACTAATATTATGAACATCAACATGATGTACTGTTTTATTCAGTTTTGCGTATGGATTTAGAGTGGAAATGAAAGTAAGACATGTAATTTAATTACTAACTAGCAAGAATTGTTGAAAATGCTGAACATTCGAAGTCGATTTTCGCGACATCGAAGTCTCAACTGAAAAAATTTTATTTTCGATTTGTTTTTTATGTAGAATCACCCCTACCTCGACTGTACTACTAATAGTGAAACACCCTGTACAATATACGTATGTACATACATACAAATTTCTGACCGATTTTCTTTAATGATATAATTTCCATAACTGTAAGGTGCAAAAATAATGGTTTGGAATATTATATTCCTACGTCGACTTTCTTTTTCACAACGTACATACGTTCTAATCACAATGATCTTATACGTTATTAAAAGTATCTTGAAGATTAACATTTAAAAGCACTCGTTTAAAAATCTCAAACATAAAATTGACCGACGATAATACGTAGAATTATTAAGATTGCAAATTATCAGAAGTGTTCACTCGAAAGTATACCTCTTTCGACTGATTCACCCCTACAGGTCCCATGCCCATGAAACATATGCTATCGCAGCACCTTTCAAAGCCAACAACTACATTAGGACTAATACAAACACTGTACAAATGCTAACAGTGAACATAATATTAAGAGGAAAAATATAATAATAAGTTGAAAAAGAAAGCTTGAGCGCTATGTAATAAACCATACCGGCAGTTCCCTTAGTGCAGCGGCCGCCTTTCCTACGACGGCACATATCATACCTGTTTTGCGAAATAAAAATCAAACAGTATGAAATCACCGGATACTCGTGGACTGTATAACATAAGGTAGAGGGCCATTGAATGTATTCATGCTCTGTTTTCAATCATTTTCGTCGAAAGGGAAACTCGTTCAATGACAATTTGTGCTTCGATATCTAATGAACCTGATCAGTGTGTACACATTGATCATGCTCTGGATAGAATTCCACGAAATTCTGATCATGCTAACATCTGATCAAACCTGTCCATACCAATGTGTATACATTGATTATCCAGGATAGAGTTAACAAGTGCGAAGTTCTTGGTAATTCGATTATTAGGATCATCGTTGCATTTAAATTTTGTAGATGTAACAAATGAAATGGGAACTCTTACTTCGTGACGGCGACAGCTATGTCATAAACCGGAAGTCTCCTCTCGCGGAAAAGATATTTGCCCATGTCGGTCAACGCAGCCGCCGAATCGATGGCGTCCCGTCCCACACGATTCCTTTCCAAATACGGTGTGGCATCCCTTCCCTAAAAGATATTATGCAAAACGTAAACCTGCATCGAGACGCATGCACGACACTCCGCATTGTTTGATAGCCAATTTATCAATTATACGTTACTCGTGAGATAATAATTCCGGCGATACTGATACGGATCTTTGGCCCCTTCAGCAGCTTGTACCTTAAATCTACTCCGTTCCAAAAAGACACGAAGTACCTTTTGATTTGTACATTGTCACCACCATGTAACCTATAAAATAAAGTTAGTTATATCACATTAATTTTTATTACTCTATGAATCTCCACATTGTTCAATAGAACGCAATAGCCCCAATTATAAATAGCCCCAATATTAAATTTTATTAATTCGTTTTCTTCACAATTAGAATATGCGTCTTCAGCTTGCTATCTAATAAATGGTAAAGCACCGTGATCTTTGATTTAAACTACTGATCATAATTTGCATTAGTAGTTTAACCTTTTAGGCACGACGCGCCACTATAGTGGCTTTCGCGGATGCCATCTTTCAGAACGACACGCCACTATAGTGGCTTTCGCGGATGTCATCTCTCTGGACGACGCGCCACTATGGTGGCTTGCTCTAGTAGCTCACTCGCTCATCGTTTGAACCAAATAATCGTCTTCATATGCATTGTTTCACACTTCTTTCGCTTTCACATCGATCTACAACAGTCTACAGGGTGTCCCAAAAATGTCTCGCAATCCGGAAATGGCGGGTTCCTCGGATCATTTGAAGCAACTTCTTCCTTTACAAAAATGTTCTCCGAGGCACCGTTAACGAGTTATTAACGAAAAACAGTGACCAATAAGAATCGAGTACGGCTGACGCGAGGCGGCCCAGCCAACCAGCGCACGAAGCCCAGTTCCGCTCATTGGCTCGATCGCCTCGCGCCAGCCGAGCTCGTCTCTCATTGGGCACTGTTTATCGTTAATAACTCGTTAACGGTGCCCCGGAGAAAATTTTTGTAAAGGAAAAAGTTGCTTCAAATGGCCTGAGGAACCCGCCACTTTCGGATTGCGAGACATTTTTGGGGCACCCTGTATATACAGACAGAATATACAGTATCAGACTCTGTACAGTACATATCAGACTCTGCCGTCCAGAGAAATAGCCTCGCGCAGAATTCAGCCGTACCTAAAAGGTTAATAAGGAAACTGAGTTCTAAATGGGTAGTAGTGGCAAGTAAAAATGTACACACATACTGAATCTCTCATGAAAATCGAGATCATGCCATCTGTTCCTTAATAAATCGGTCGGATTTGGATGATTGTAATTACAAAGTGAATGTAATCAATATTATGTAAGAGTTTATTTGTGTAATATGCGTAATATTTTATAAAGTTAAGAAGCTAATGCAACGTTTACAGGCATACGCTTTAATACTGTTATTGAACTATGGTCTGAAATTAATATTTTGTCCATTTCCCCTTACTTTTTTGAATGCTTTTTATCTACGTGGCATATTAGCAATCAAGATATTTTAATAGCTCAAGAATACCCGTAGGTAAGTTGTCATAGTTTTCTTGTAGTTGTCTAATTTTCTTTTCACGATAGACCACAAGTTCTCTTATTGGTGTTAAAATTTAATTTTTGTGTGTTAAAATATAATTTCTTCTTCATTGCATCCAATAGAAGTAACAACTGATGGTAAGTAGGTTTGTGAAATGTTTAAATAATATTTCTTGCACTATGTATGAAACAATCCTATCATATTATAGATCCTCCTCAGAACTTTTATACCTGTCACTTGAAGATTTAAACTATTGGGTGTTCAATACCAGGGCCTTCCATTAGATTGAAATCTGCACATTTTTGTTTCATCAGACCAAATGACTTTTTTCGTCCATGATCCATTATTTGTACCGTATTAACAAATTGATTTTCTTAAATTAATATTTATATACGTAAGAGCTGGTCTGCGTATCTTTTCTCTTGCTTCTAAACAAATTTAATTCAAAGGTTGGCAAATAGTCTATTCGATAGCATTCACACCAGTTTCTTTTGCTGTTATCTTTTGAGCGTTTTAATATCTGCAGCCCTAATACTGTCTTTGCCACTACACTATGGCTTGTATTACTTTTCATTGCAATTTGTCGCAGTGGAAAACCTTCGTCATACAAATAAATAATATTATGCTTCTTGTTCCTGCTAAACGCTTTCATATTATTATTCGGCTAAATCAACTCATAAAGTAAGAAGTAATTGTAAAAATTGTCTGATGAAACATGCAAAACTATAAACATTCTGTCAAGTTCCTATTTCTGAAAAATATTCCATATATCATAAACATAAATGAAAGTAAACTATTACATACTATTAATTACATTCAGCTTATAATTACAGTCACCGAAATTCGACCGATTAGTTAAGGCAGTGCTCGCGATTTGAACGTTGCATGCCAATAACAAATAATAAAACAAGAACTGACATAAAATTTAAACAGAAGGTTACGACGATGCTCAGGGACGAATTTTAGGGGACCCTTATCGAGGACCCATGTATGCAGAGTAACCTCATGTAGAAGGGCCCGAAAATTGTGATTCAGCCCTGACCCGATCACGTGTCGCTCGTGTGCCGCTGTTTATATTAGGTCTACCGGAAAGTTCTGCCCGTTTAAGAAATGAGAGGAAATAATAGATTTTTCATAAATTTAGTAATATTTATTGTACAATATAATTTCCGTCGTTACTTATGACCTCTTGCCAGCGTGATGGCAATTTGTGAGTAACATTTTTCAAAAATATATGTCTCAAATGAACATGTGCATACCTATCGAAATTTGCAATGACATTATCGGACAGAACTTTCCGGTAGACCTAATATTTTGTGCTAGTTTTTGTTGAACATAGTATATCTTTCCATAGGCCACTGATGGAGAACTCTCAGGAAATTTTCAAGTCCTCAGGAAATTGGATTAATAGTTTATGCGCTATTTCTGCTGTTCTGATCAACGAAAAATTATGAAAAAATTCATGAATGTTTTACTTAATGAGGCACAAAATTCTGACTTCCTTCAAAATTTTGAGTTGCAAAATCGACTTTTAAAAAATCCAAAGACTTTTAAATGTTGAATTCGGAATTAAAAGGTCGAGGCACCGTATTCACAATTTTACTCTAATAGTGCTTTGTTATGGTTACGCATGTGTATTTCTCTCGGATTTTTCTTAGGGGGCAAACAGGGCCAAAAGAAATTGAAAAACGTCAAAAATTCAAAAAATGCATGTTTTAAATTAAAGTTTGTTAGACATCAGTTTTATATTCATTCTGTAATGGAAAAATGCCGTAAGCATCGTTATGATCTTTTTGAAGTAGCGATCCTAATTAAAAAAATAGAAATACGTTTATGCAGATATGTAATATTGAACATTCCTATGTTCGGAGAAACAATGTAAAAACTTAAAAATTCAATCCAAAACTATTAAACAGTAATTATTGTTTATGCGCATAATATTCAAATATATGTACGTATAGTACATTCAACAGTGTCAGTTGTCTCTAACCGCTAACCACCATAGATGATAATAAGTCGAGCATAGTCACAAACGTTCGTTGAGTTGTTGAAGCTATGCGTGGCACAATAGGAGATGGAACAATGCACAATTATCGAAAGATTTAAATGCGAGTCAATTTGGTTAGTGGACACATTTGACCATCTTATCCGGCTGTGCTCTTTTCACCTATCCATTTCCCTCGTAAACGCAACAAATTCGCAGTTTAATTATAAACCGCAGGAGTTGTGACGTGTCTCACCTGTATCCATCGTAATCCACGATACAAAGGATTTCCGGATAAATTACGTAAGGCGCTTCTCTCCTCGATCTATTGGCCATCGAACGTTTCGATCTGTACCTTTTAGCTAAATGGTCGGGCTCCATCAGCGCTGAAATAGATTTTCAATTATAGAGGCAATAACTTCCGTTCACGAGAGAATCTCGGTTTCGGCGTGACGATGACAGAAAAATCAATAGGCATTTACTAAAATCGCTGTACTCGTCGTAATTGTGTCTGGGTGTTTTCTTGAAGACAACGTGATGATTCGTATGCTTCAACTTCTCTTTACTTCGTGTTACGTTCGGTAATAATTCATCGCTGTGAAGAGTCGGTATCCTATTCACTACTTCGTGTAGTACCCGGTCTGGTAGTGGTCTGATCACCATTTCCCCACCGATGTTTCCATCCTAAGGCATAAAATATTTTAGAAAAAAATTGCATAGAATTATCATGTTACGGAAATCAATTCTAATACTATCATCCAGCATCGTCGTATGTTTTATAGACTGTACTTCTTAACTTTAATATTTCAACGGTTTGTAAGTACATGTTCGTTGCTCTGGGAAATCGTATTTGTTTGAAAATATTATTGCAAGCATGAAACCTATTTCGCAATAACATCTTTGAAGACTTTCAAGTCGTCAATATATTTTTAAAGCGGACTTCTTTATAGAGAAACACTTTGTTAATGTCTGAAATTTAAACGATACAAAACTGCACTGAGGAATACGTCGGAATAAATGTAATTTCGGTGGATTAACAGATAAAATTTCTGCGTAAAAATCAAATAAAAGTGCTACCGCTATAGTTCGCGTTAATTTATACATTTTCTTACGGGCCATTCCATATTCAGCGGATCATTTTTGTGCCTCGATGTCAAGCACTTTGATGATATTGGAATATGTTGTGGGCTATACGCAATTAGGTGAGGGGGACTAAGCCATAATTAGAACATATATATCAATATTATCGAAATCCTCGACATCGAGGCACAAAAATGATCCGCTTTGCGTGGGACGGAATCTGCAGATGCCATAAATATCGTGCCTAAACTAATCCTATCGTTTGTGGAAATGCGCGTTTCACGTTCTCTAGAAAATAGTTGAAATTGCTGCAATAATCCGATCGTTGATACTTCTGATCGTCGCACGATCAAGTTGTTCCATCTGCGGTTGGGAAGGTGTAATGGTCGAAGCGAGGGAGGGAGAGTGAAAGCGAAAGGTCAGGGCACGCGGGGTCGCATAGAACAACGTTTTTACGATCTTATGTAACCAACCCATGGTATTTGTTTCTCTCGAAATTTCTGTAGCAATTCCGTTACTTTCGAAAATTAAACGGCCCACCTATAATCGAATAAACTCCCGTTATGATTTCGATGACGCTCATTAATATTCGTACAGTCTTTGGGAAGAGTACTTTTTCCAAAAATAGACGGAACGTCTTGAGGTTTTCTGCGAAATTCATATGGACTTGGTTTATTAAAATATTAAATGCGTTCTATAGATTTGTATCGCTTATGCGCATTTTTAAAATTTTGTCATTAGGCATGCATGTTGTTCAGTTGTGCATACATTGCTTTTGATATTTAGCTTGCATCCAAATTTTCAGTTGTGTAGTAGCTGTCGATTTGACTGATCGAAGGAAGTGACATTAGGAAATTACGTGATTTGAAGTATATTATTACATTACGTTACACTTATTAAACTTATCAAAACAAGTAATACATTATCATTTAATTTTTGTTTCATATAACTGTCTTATTTACTGTATATCGCGGGAAATGATTCTATTTTCTTGAATGTAACATTTTATTTGTTGAACGCTCGAAGTAATTAAGAATACTACCGTGCATGTATTCATTACCTCGTGATATAGTCTAATTTAAAAATCAAAGAAATTATGAACGTAAATATTGAATTCGTAAATGTTTATCTATTTCGATCGGTCTTCCAATAGCATTTTCGTGTAAAATAATTGCGTGCAATTAAAATTCTTAATTATCATGATGCAGGTATTACAAAATCAATAATATTTAATTGAAAATATTTCATTCGAAGGTACTAGATACAGTCTAATTTAAAAATCAAAGAAATTATGAACGTAAATATTGAATTCGTAAATGTTTATCTATTTCGATCGGTCTTCCAATAGCATTTTCGTGTAAAATAATTGCGTACAATTAAAGTTCTTAATTATCATGGTGCAGATATTACAAAATCAATAATATTTAATTGATAATATTTCATTCGAAGGGACTACCATTTTTGTGGTCCAAGTACACTTTTACGATTTCGAAATTAAATATATTCAGAGGAAAGCCTTCATTCCTTGAGTTTATTTGACAAATCTGCCAATAGTGTTTGAGCAATCCTAGAACTCGCGGTTAATAATGGCTTCGCCAGTGTAGCTGTGTTGTGTATGAGTCCGTGAGAGATCGAGCTTCACAAGTGAAATTGAGTTACAGTTGGTTGGATGTGCAATCACCGAAAACACCAGCCTTCTCGAAATTGGTGACCGTTCAGGAAGGTAGAACCGATATGGGAAATTTTATTATGGTTTTTTGTGTCTTCACGCGCAATCACTTGGCAACACGGTCTTTGTATAAACCGCGAGCGAATTGCAGCATCAGATTAGAAATGTCGAAACAATCGCGATACTGTTTTAGAGACTTTCCTTCCTAGTCGACAGATTTACCCAGTCCCTAGTCAATAAATAATACGTACTAATAAAAACACATTATTGTGTATTTATCACGTGTATTTTAATGAGTTTTATCATAGACGAGATAACAGAGTAGACTGGACAGCATTATGGGGTTCCGTGCCACATGTTCTGAAATACTGACATCGCTAAAAACGAGAGGTTTTTAAATCTGCCTATAAATAGAATGGTTGACTAGCCTATTTTAACTCTGCCTATAAATAGAATGGTCGACTAGCGAATTACATAAGACCGCAGCAGAGAAATTTCGTTTCTATTTTACAGCGTAGTCGGTACTAATAATGAATATAAAATGTTGCCGCGAGAATTCCAGACTTTCCGGTACGACGAATCTTCGAGGCAGAGTCTATACCTATGTCAGGGCTCGGAATAAGACTGCGCGCAATATTGATGTCGCGAGGACTACGCCTCCGGACTCCCGTCGCAGCGTTCCACTCTCCTTCGGCTCGACCGACCTCAGGCGCGTACCATAACAACTATTCGTGGCGCATTAGGGCAACTCTTGACAATTAAATCAAAAACTGTTTCCAATATTTATTTTCCATATTTATCGTCGATCTGAAATAATCGCGCGACACAGTGGAATAGGCATTTTATGGGTGAAATGATACGTGTCTATTGATACGAGCGTCGCCCTGATGCGCCACGGATAGTTACTACGGTACGCGCCTGAGGTCCTCCGAGCCGAAGGGGGCAACACGAGGGGCGAGACGCTGCGACGGGAATCAGGAAGCGTAGCCCTCACGGCATCGATGTTGCGTGCAGTTTTATTTCGAGCCCTGATGTAACTGAAAACGGGATGGATGAGAGGGGCATGAGGTGTGATGCGAGATAGTTTGTTGAGGATTTCTGGAGAGTATGAGATGCTGTACTTTACTCGAGACTTTTCAGCTCCACGAATATCGGTAAGTACATAGAACTAGGTGATCCTCACCAATGTATACAATATATCTCTGCGTTAAGATTTTTACGATCGAGAGTCAATCAAAATTGTATATTTATAATTTGCAAATAAGGTAAAATAAAGATAATGTTTCGATGAAAATAAATATAAATGTATTGTAAAAGAATGCTGTCAAATGAAAAAATAAAATTTGAATTTTGGACTGAACTATCAGCTCAGCTCGAACGAGTTGATTCAGCTGTAAACTTTGCCTCGAAGATTCGAGGATAATTATATGCAATAGGGTGATCCTCACTGGTTTCAATGGCATTGAAATATGTTGTCAAGATCATCATTCTGAATAACTTCTTCCTGTACATGTTATCGCCGCTTTCAGTTTCCGAGATATTCACGAAAATATTAGGAAAACCGAAAAATAATAAAATTTTGTTGTTGTTGGCGAGAAACATTTATTTATTAAAGAAATCCTACACTTTAATCAACAAAATAATTTCCATCATCTTTTAACACCTTTTTCCAGCGTATAGGCAGTTGTTCGATTCCTTTTTTAAAAGAGTCCTTCGATTTTGCATTGAAAAACTTTTCCAAGTGCGTTTTCACTTCTTCAACATTGTTAAAGTTTTTATCTCTTTATGTATGCTATAACGATCTGAAAAGGTGGTTGTAATCCGACGGCGCGAGATCTGGTGAATAAGGTTATGTTCATTATTAAGGTTATGTTGATTAAAATGTAGGATTTCTTTAATAAATAAATGTTTTTCGCCAACAGAAAAATATTTTGATTACTTTTCAGTTTACCTAATATATTTCGTACACAATATTGCAAGTCTCCTGCTTACAACATGAATGTTGTTACTCTGTAGTATTCTACAGTTCATATTACACACTTTTAGCACTGTTTACATGCAGAGTTGGTTTGCAGTTAAATCTGTATCTGGGCGGAGTGAGCCGGCTGTTAGGCCGTCCCGTCCATACATACAAAAATCCATGCGAGATGCGGAACATTGCAAGCATAATTACGGATCTAACCACAACCAATCACAACTGCACCTTCTTCTCGAAATCTTGTCTACATATTTTGCAACTCAAACCTAACGAAAATGCGTTTAAGTAGATCTGTCCGTTACCGTGAACACAGGAACATTAGATGAGTGGCGGTCGCTGTCTAGCGCACACAAGTTGACATGACATGCGCGTATAACCAGAATTCAACCTGCTAATAGCAACAGTCCTTCGCGAATATCTCGGAAACTATTGGGTTGGCAACTAAGTAATTGCCGATTTGTTCAATGAAATAAAAAATTTCTTTTTACTAGGAATGAAGTTTAATCTGTAATTTATTGCAAATCTGGCCACCGCGAAGGTGGCGCAGATATGTTTCCTTGCCAGATCTGGCATACACAAGAAATTTAGTACCCACCCCCCGACGGAACACCAACGAGGGGTCCGAACGTGGGTAAACCAACGCCTTCTCTTATCGGTCATTAGGCCGGGTACGGAAGACCCAGTCTTAACTCCGCGTCCGTGTAAGGAGTTTTGTGGTTTGCTTTGCCCCCAAAGTGCCACACGACAGCAATTGTACAGCGTGTCAGGCTAGAGGGCGAAAGTTTAATCTGTAATGTATTTTCCATTTTGTTCGATGACCTTTTGCCATCTCTCTGACAACTTGAAAATTCCACGCTCGTAGAAAGTCTGATCATTTTCGGCCAAAAATTGAGTTAAGTGAGATTTTACAGCGTCATCATCATTAAAAGTTTTACCACGAAGGGAGATGTCCAGGGATCGAAATAAGTGGTAATCCGATGGCACGAGATCAGGGCTATATGGTGGGTGTAACATCAATTCCCAACCAATATCCATCAATTTTTGCCGAGTGGACAAAGACGTGTGCGGCCTAGCATTGTCCTG